TAAGACTTTGCACAAATGTGATTTGGTAAATTTTGACATAACAAATCAACACTTTGAAATTAGAGAAGCCAAATGAATAAGTCAAAGTAATTCTTATCTTCATGATAATCAGAAGGATTAAGTGCAGTCAATACTAGTTGGAAAAAAGGAATGAATCGATGCAATAAAGTGTACAAAGAGGAGTTTAACTGAAATTAGTGCGACCTAATTATTAGCCAAATCACCTGGGTTTTTCAATCAGAAATTATTATTATTATCGCCCGGATCCCGTACGAGAAGTCTGCAGCTAACAACATGGACCAAGTTCAGTAGCCAATGAAGTCATATACTAACACTATGTGTTGGTTCCGATACCTCAAGCTGTTTTCCATCCCATTCGTAATCCAGCTAGCATTATGCATTGTGATATGTTGTGATTAGTTAACTCATACCTCAGTGATGAAAAGATAGGTCCTCACCAACAAATTTTCAAACTTGACCTGCAATACTCTATATCATTACAGCATTACTTACTAAGATATTTTACCTTACATAAGTAATTCTTCGAAACTATCTATAATCAACTAATGATGACCAACCTGCTACCCTGTATACTCGTCCTCTGGTAGACAAAGAGACTTAGTTTTTCTTATTCTATATTTACTAATAGTGTGATTCCAAGAAAGACATTTCATTTAGACCATGAGTGATTAGTTAATTGTAACAGAAAACAACAACGTTCTGAAGATTATTTTCCCTTCAGAAAATTGTTCTATTCCTTGCCAAAATAACCTCTGTTTACTCGAAATTAATAATCTAGAAAATAAGGTGAATTACACTTATTATCAAGTAAGTCGACCTTCAACTTATCTTCCGAAATTAAAGTTTACTGAATTAACTAATTCAGTTGGTTTATTTATTTACGAAGTTCTACGTTGTTACTGAGTTGGTTTATTGCATTATTTATGTGAACACATTAAAATTGGTACAAAGGTGCACCAGATACGTATGCACCATACAATAATAATGAGAATGTGAAGAGATAGGGAATGTAAGGTGTGTATAAAAAAAAGGGGAACAATAACGAATAGACATTAGTGTATGACAGTGAAATAACAATAATGAAAGGGCTAGTTCAAATAGCAAGGTCCTCAAATACAACACGGAGAACAGCAATCCAATCACTCTTGATGGCAAAACTCTGGAAGATGTAGAATCCTTCACATACCTGGGAAGCATCATCGATGAACAGGGAGATTCATATGCAGACGTAAAGGCGAGGATTGGCAAAGCAAGGGTCGCATTCCTACAATTGAAGAACATATGGAACTCAAAACAACTTTCAACCAATATCAAAGTGAGAATCTTCAATACGAACGTTAAGGCAGTTCTACTGTACGGAGCCGAAACTTGGAGAACTACAACCATCATCAAGAAGGTACAAGTATTTATAAATAGTTGTCTACGTAAGATACTCAATATCCATTGACCGGATACCATCAGCAACAGCCTTCTGTGGGAGAGAACAAACCAGCTTCTAGTTGAAGAAGAAATTAATAAAAGACGATGGAAGTGGATAGGACATACAAACTGCATCATGAGGCAAGCTCTAACTTGGAATCCTGAAGGTAAGCGGAAAAGATGAAGGCCAAAGAACACATTACATCGTGAAATAGAATCAGATATGAAAAGGATGAATAACAACTGGAAGGAGCTGGAAAGTATTGTCCAGGACAGGGTTGGATGGAGAATGCTGGTGGTTGGCCTATGCTCCTCCACAAGGAGTAACAGGCCTAAGTAAGTTAAAATAGCATAAGTACAGCCACAGAGAATTCTTCCACTTAAGGAGGTTACGTATTTTTCATGAAGTAAAATCAAGTTACAGCAGCATCGCCATTGGCTTCTATTCTAAGCCATATCTGATAACATCTCTAACCACTGTGTTGCACTATCTCTAGGACTTCAACCAGGGAGTCGTGAAGGACCGACAGATTAACTACATAAACAAAGAACACTATAGTTCTATTACTATAAACTTTTATGTATATAAAGTTTAAGCAGTATTTCTCCAAATCTTTTTATTTCAATGATCAAAGTCTATCAGTTGAATCTTGATATATGACCACAAATAAACTTTGTTACAATTTATTAAATTTAATCATCTTTATGGCTTTTATCCAAAAAAACCCACTAAAAACATAATCTGTCAAAAAGTTTCACATTAAATACTGTTGGTAGTTCAAAACACTTTGATATGAGAGTATAGATTAGTGCATTAGAAAATTTCAGTTAACTATAATGTAAGCACTTAGACAATGCGAATTTATCGATGGTCATTTTTTTAATATAATTAATATCAGAATGGGTTTTTGTAGGTATTATAGTAATTTCAATAGTTAAGATCATAAGTCAATTGAAGCTAAACCAGTAGGGAAAACCTGGATGGCCATTTTTTTCGTTTTGTGGGACTCCTCAGCAGTGCGCATTCACGACCTCGCCTCGCGAGATTCGAACCCAAAGACCTATCAGTCTCTAGTGAAAGCGCTTAACCACTAGACCCATGATCTCAACTATTAAAATTAATATAATACCCGCATTAAATAATATGACAAAATGGTTTTGTTTAAAATCAGATTTTATGAAATATTTTTGTGGTATAACTGTAACACACTGAGTAAAGAACTAAGAAAATTTCTTAGGACATTATATCTTTTTAATCAAATAGATTTGATTGACAAATTACGTTATCCTTTTTGACTATGAAGCATAATCACGGTACGTATAATGGGGAGGCCAGGACTTTTGGGACTATTCTTCTCAATTATAATTATTCTTATTTCTATTGTATAATTAAAAAATCTCGTGCTAGTATTTCTGTATTCTCTTTATTGTGTGCTTTCAGTGGACTTGCTCGCTATTGTCATACACTTGACAATCCCTAATTACTGCTAGTTATTTATGTGCTGTTTACTTCGCTGTCGTTTATGGGATGGTTGTGTTTAAGGTATGATTTCTTATTTGGTGTGTCGTGTATTCTGATAAGTCGTGTATGTAAGCTGTTTTTTTATCTAGTTGTCCATTTTAACTGGGTGGTTGAAATGTAGTAATGACAAGCTTGACTGTAAACTTCTCTTTGGACTCAAGAGTGTGAATAAAGAAAGGCTTGAGGATAGGCAGACCAATAGAAGCGTGGATTATGATACCCCCAAGGTTAATCGTACCAGTCAGGACGTTGAATTGTTCGAGTTAAGAACATTAGACTACAAACGTAATAGTAAACTTGGGGTAGGAATGTCCTAATTAGAATACCGATTGGCGAGTTTGACATGTGATATCAATTTGCATCTCCAGACAAAAAGTATTTAGGAGGTCGATCTGTTTTAATGAACACGTTCAACTGTCTCTAACACTTTTACCTTGTAAATAAAAGACATGTTTCGTTCTGAAGCAGCAATTTACGATATGGAAATTTCCTTTCACGTTGATACAAAACGATAGATTATCATGGAATCCTTATTAGTACTGAGGGTTAGGCATTTAGATTCATGTGATCCTATCTGTTGTATTAATTTGTTTGGATTTTGAGTAAGACTACAAATCAATGTTCTGAGTAAGTGTAAAAATTAAAAAGCCGTTAATAATAGACAGAAACAGTCACTAAGGAAATAAGTGCCATAAACCAATGAGGTTTCAGCAAATTAGATTGAAACGGGTCTTCTAGAAACTTAACTGGTTTTAATGTATAACGCAAAGTATTCAATGAACCAATCGCAAGTGGAATAATGTACTTACGAATTTAGATGAACGTGTGAAAGTAAGTGCTGACGATAGCTTGGTTGAAGTTTCTGCAAAGGTTTAACAGTATATTCGATCATCATTCATGAGATGAATATCTTTCTTCGAAGAGCTAAAATGTTTATAATTAAGATCATGACACGCATCAATTACTTGTAAAACTGATATTTGCTTATACAGTAGTCATTGTTAACGATATCACTTAAATAACGATACGTGTAACTATTTATTTAAACACATGAATGTTGATACGAGTGGGCACCAGATACATATGCACCACACAAATCTTATTTGATTTGTATGAGAGCTATGATACTACCCGGGTGCCCAGACCTAAGTAGATGGTTTTCTTAAGGGGCCACACTCGAAGCCTTTGACCTAAAGGTCTGATCCACAAAGCAGTGAACCGTCGTAAGGAGATGCAGTCTCATGGTAGCCGGTGACCAACGATTGGTTCACACGCCATTTGTTCTTTCAGGATACTGGAGCCCATATGCACCATTGGTTTGGAATCAGGTTTTCCCGACTCCCCTAGGTGGACCCTCCGTGTCCACCAACGCGTTTAAAGTGCCGAACATTCGCTCTTCGTCCTCTCAATTTTGTAAATAGTAATGCCGCGATAAGGCAGTGAGTAGGACTTCTCTGACAGAGGCTGTATACGCGTGGCCATGTGAGAGCATTTCGAGAGGGGGGATGGACCGTAACCACTCTTGACCGTAGCAAAGCATTTGGGGGCTTGTAACTATCCAGGTTCTCGTTGCGTTCGTGCCTATTAATAACACAAGATTTAAATTTAGTTGTTGAGATCTGAATTTGAAATTAAAAACATTCATATGTATTGCGCAAATATATCACACAGTTCTGATAATCTTCGTCTTTTTATTACATTATCGAAACAGTTATCTATCTCAGACAATGAAAGAATAGCCGTGAATCGACTGAAGTTAGACATAAATGCCGGTTTAGTGGTCTAAAGGTTAAGTGTTCTTGCGCGAGACCGGGGTCTCCTCGTTCGAATCCCGCGTGTAAGGTCATTGATACAGACTGTTGGATAGTCTTATACGAGGATGAAATAACCATCCATTGCTTCCAGACCAACTTACAAATTCAACCATTGAAATGACTACCATCTCTACAAATCCTCATTCTGATAATTAAAAAGAAGAACAATCAATAAAATAGATTTCTTTTCCCATTTCTAAAAAAATCAATCAAAAACCAAACATGAAGATGAACAGTTCATTATATATTCAATTCATAAAGTCTATGTATAATAGATGCATATGAAATAACAAATGCATAATCTTTTAAACAAAAAGAAAATGAAATGACAAGACAAACAAAAAAGAAGAAGAAGATGGTCAACATATTCAAGATAAAACAAACAAACAAACAAATCTGTACAATTCAATATAGAAAAAGTTTTTTTTGTCATTTATTATTGTGTAGGTTTTAAAAATAAATTAATTTTATTGCAACAGATTTTATTCAATGTAATTTGATGGGTACTTTTATCTTTCAATTGAACAATGAGCTATTTTCAAGAAAGAAAAATAAATAAAAAGAAGTTTTATATAGATTCAATGTAAAATTTTATTAATTGAAGTTATTGTGTGTTATATATAACGCTTGGATTTTACTTCGTCTGATATTATTGTGATGTGTGCTACTTATATTGACTATAAGTAGTAGATGTTAGTTGTGAACAGAAGTATCTGGCAGTAGAGAGACAAGAGGATCAAACAGTAAAGAATGGAAAAACAGAATGCAATTTGTATGAAAATACAAGAACAATGAAGTCTAGGCCATTATGAGACAATTGATGATCATTATGCAAATTGAACATTTACTATATGGTCGTCAGATTTTAATAACATGAATATGAATAGAAGTAGCTGCGACAAGAAATCTAGCTGTTCCGCCCCAAAGAAAAACCTTTAAATAAGTCTGAAATTTAAAGGTGATCGAACATCAGACGTAATCAAAACTCGTCTAACAACAACGATTAGAAGGACATTTAACGCGGCTAAACTACGAACAACCTACACTAGTAGGAACTTATTTTCTGTATCCGTAAAGGATAAGTTTCCGCGTCTGGTCACCTCTATGTGCATCGACCAGTTCACCTGCTCTTGTGCAGCAAGGTACATTGGCCGTGGCCAGCGCTCGCTTTCAACTCGAATACGGGAACATATCCCAGCTTGGTTCTATAAGGGTGAAAAGAAAGCAGTTAGCAGTTCTATACTTGAACACCTAATCAACTGTAACCATTCTACAGATCCACAATTTGATTTTAAAATTGTTTATATGATTCGTTTAAATCTATCCAGATTTCTTCGTATCCAATTCTTAAAAATAGCCGAAGCTCTTACCATCCAGGAGCTTAAACCATAGCTATGAGTACAAAAGAACTACATCTTATCGTTACCTTGGCCTTAATTATCGTACTATTATTATTATTATAACTGCATCCTCCCCCTTTACTTATGTCTTATATTCTCATTGTTTTATTCGTAAATGCTCATCATCATATCACCTTATTTATTTACGTTTTACACCTTTATGACCTTTAACTATTATAACAAAAACATTTTATCAGAATGAGTTTTGTGGAGATTTTAGTAAATTTCACAGGTTGAAATCATGAGTCAGTTGAAGCTAGACCACCATTGAAAACCTGGAAGCACTGGACGGCCATTTCGTTCTAGTATGGGACTCCTCAGCAGTGCGCATCCACGAACCCGCTCCCTGCGGGATTCGAACCCAGGACCTACTGGCTTCGCGCGCGAGCACTTAACCATTAGACCACTGAGCCGGCATCCAGTGCTTCCAGGTTTTCAATGGTGGTCTAGGTTCAACTGACTCATGATTTCAACCTGTGAAAAACATTTTAATCACCTTATTATATTCACTAAATCTATTATTATTATTATTCATATTACGTAATCTAGTATTATAACCCTTTTTTATTACTTCATGGTTAATTGTGTTCACATTTCATCACGGAATTAGTACTTTAACAAAAAAACAAAAAAAATTTCATATATATACGATTGTACAGCTTGATAATCAATTTGTTGAAAAGAGATCCCTTCGCTGAACTTCATGTTTTAATATATATATTCCTATTTTATAGTACGATGCAATCTGATTTGGTTGTATATATATATATATATATATATATATATATATATATATATATAATTAACAAATCACAACAATATACAACAAAATCTAACATTTACAAACAGGTACTATACTACAGCCACCGTGTATTTGATTTGATTATTTCAACTTTTTCAAATTCCGTCTTATAAAGTTTAATTTTGTAATGCTGTGTGGTGACGATAGATAGATATGATCACTGAAATGAATATTAACACTGGTTATGTTCCAGTGTTATTTCTAATTGACCAACTAATTGATTAATTGACTAATTTCTCTATTGATTTTGTTTGCATGATAAATTAAGATATTTCAGAATGAATCAATAAGATTGCATAGCAATCTGACGAGAATGTTACACATTATTTAGTATACAATTTGCTTGATCATAAATCAAAGTAAAGAATGATACAAATATCCGTTAGATCAAGTCGATAAGCCACGTTATGACGACTAGATGTAAATTGACAAGATGTATAGTAAAAGAGATCGGAATAATTATTTAGACGGTCAATATCAAAAGAAGATACAAAATGGATGCTTCTATACTACTGTGAACAATTCCTAAGTCATACTGTGATGTATGCTACTTATGTTGACGGATACAAGTAGTATGTAGCACCAAACAGAAGTGGAATGCTTATCAGCAGAAGATAAAGTTCAAATTGAAGAGAATAGGGATGTAAACAGACAACAACAGAGAGAGATAACTCATAGAAGATGTGATAATAAAGTATTTAATGTATGATTTTAATAGTCCTTTATTTTTTTTAGATAACTTCAGTCATCATTCTGATATTTTCAAGTAGACAAATACTAATGAAGATTTCACTTCAATGTACAATTAATACCAAGGCGAATTTTCATTCTATTCATACCATACATGATGAAGAAATGACAAAATATTTATATTAGATTTAATAGAACCATTATTACCATAAGTCAACGGAAGTTAAAGAGATAAAAAATGAAGTGCAAATAGGTAACACAAGACAACTATTGCAACTCATCAAGGGAACAGATAATAAAATGTTAGCTATTTTGAAAAGACTGTTTCAGAAAAAAAACGTGACGTCGTTGTAAAATAATACGATCGATAACTAGACTGAGATTTCACTACCACTAAACTGAATACTCAACTGGTATGTTATATACACAGACTGGATAACGCTATACCAAATAGATGATTTACGATCAAAAATAGGTGATCGGAGTACAGGCTAGACAATACGTTATTCAATACAATTACAAACAATCTATACTCAGAAACCAATGATTGGTAGGAGATCGCATATTAAATCGTCAGTAGGCTGGGTATGTTTGTTCATATTCACTGTTAAATTACATCTTACCTCCACTATACGAAACATCAATTGGTCAAACTGATTTATCTATGATTATCACAATAGGATTCTAGCCTTTTCCCATGAATTTGAACGGTTGCCGACTTAGACAAGTTGTATGGAATTATGTCAAGTTACAAATTCTAGTTAATATCTCAATCGAATTAATCCGTTCTTTTTTATTTCCGTTCGTCAATATCTATCCAATCTATCACTGATATGACTACGATTTCAATTCAACTAATATTCAGTTTATTAATATCATTGCTACAATCTACAATCCCACATTCATTTGCAGTTAGTAGAAAAAAATCAGTAACATAAACAGAAAAACATAAGTAACCAACCTCATCAGTTAATAGGACAGGAATATCATTTTCTGTGACAAGGCATATAATTTTGATGCATTCTTGACGACAAGATAATATAAAAGCCATTCGACTACGTAATTCATGAACCTTCATTTCATAGAGCATAATTGCATGATAGACTAAAATTATGTAAACAAAACACAAACAAATAAAGTAGGGATGAATCAATCAGTCAGTTTTCATATAAGCAACGTAGAACCTGGTATATATGTACATCGATTCACGTCGCTACACCCCATCATCAAAATGAGATGAAAATATCAGGGGAAATTCTAGAGTAATCGAGGTACTTGATAGTATCAGTTGTAATAAAAAAATTAGGCATCAAAGATACTATTCGAGAAAATATGAATTAGTGCAATAGTAAAAAATATTTAAAAGGAATCCAGAAACTTAGGATTTAAGAAAAGACAACGAGTGAATGCGCCTCTGCCATTGCGAACAACTTTAAGCTATGGCCACCCAAAGTCTATAACGACTGGTTGCGATAATCGCGCAGACCCCAACCAGGTAGTCTAGATCAATTAATATGGGTCAGTCAGTGGTTTCATATTTTGGTTTGACCGCCCCTAGCTTTTTCCAGCCTACTCCTACACTAGCAACCATCGTGTATCAAGGCAGTCAGGGGATAAGCATACGTAATGCATGTCTTATGGTCAGGGAAGTAGGAATGAATATGATGATAAAATAATTATTTTGATAGAACCACTCCAGTGTATAAGGTAGTCAATTTAAATAATCTTTACAAAATTTCAATCCTAGCAAAAGAGTTAGTTTTGCTAAAAAGTAATCCCTGACATTACGGATTCTTAAAACCGTGGTTTCCTGAGTATGACCATAAGTAGAGTAAGACAATTACGCAATATGAGTAAATTGTTTGCAGTTAGAATTGAGGAGTTTAAGAAAAACTCGACAAGGCAGAGTGCATCGAAATGTTCAATCAGTCATTTAAGTCAGTAAACTAACTTTCGCTAAGACATTGAAATTCCTCAAATCATCAAACTCAATGACTAGACACCGCAAAAATGTCCCCAGAGTGTAGCGAGATGTGATAAGTCTTAAATATGGAAATCAAGAGAGAGTCTTAACAACGATTATTCAAATGTTATTTCTAATACTAAACCCAATATTCCATCTCAGTGAAAGTCATATTTCAATTACATAATTACTAATGTACATTAATAGGTCAGTAGTAGTAGTAGTAAATATAGTAGAAGCAGTGAGTACATGGAATAGCAATACTATGATTAAGTGGACAAAACTACATAGCACACTTTTATGACAGATTGATTTTAGTTACCAGGAAATTTTTAATCAGACTACCTTATTATGATATTCAAATAAAAAACATATTAATACCTAAAAGAAGGATAGGTAAAACATAAGTCCTCATTACAACATACTTGTTTCTCCTTTCAAGCACACGTATAGTGTACATCTTGGCACTGTAGGTCTTTAAAAAAAAGAAAACAGAATAAATAATACCCGAAAAACATGTGATTGATAATTGTTAGGAAACATTATAATAAAACATCTATATTCCGTATACTACTTAAATAGTTTCCAATTCAAAATAAATACAATAAAATGAAAATATTAAAATGTCATTAATGTAACTTTCCGTTATTAGACGGCTACAATTGCACAAGATCAATAGGAATCAAGTTAAACCAATCACCAAATCGATTTACATAAGTAAAAGTTGATGTCATAAACGTGGTAACCACGTCATGAGCTCAACGTTGTATATATCATAACAAGATCTAAATAAATTGCCAGAATGCTGACCTATCATTTTTGCAACTTGAACAAAACAGCCAACACTGGAACGAACAATCATATAAAGGACAAAAAAATTTTTGAACTAGTTGGAAGCAGGGTTATCAGAACAGACTGGACGAGGCATTTGTAAAACAATTGAAATGTGTGCTAATGATGTTGTCCAAAACGATAAAAAAAAGCTTCGCAATTAAACTATTCAGCTCAGAGAACTCAACTTTACCTAATCAACATCCACATAACGAGCTATAAATCTTCATCAACTCACTATGAATGGTCACGCTTTCTTCATTTAACAATTGGCTTAATTTAGGTAGATTGGTCAACTGAAAAGTTTTTTATAATTGATTGATCATGGAATGATGATTAATATCATGTTTATCTAGTATTTTAGTGCCGTTATTAGTCTGTGTTTTGACATCATCTGGACTAGGTTGAGAAGTTAGGTGATTGGACGTGGTCGCCAAGAAACCCTGTTTGGCACCTGCTGGCAAGGACTACGTGCAATCTCTAGGGAACTAATATTCCCTAGTAAGTTCGAACCCACGTCATCCAAATCTGCATTCTGAAATATTTATACTAATCCGGTCAATTTTTTATGTACGGAGCAACGACTGAAAATTGAAAGGGAATCTAGGCCACAGTAGAACTTCAAAACATGGAGGGTACTGATTAAAATTCGATCACATATGTGTTTTCTTCCAACTAGCATATGACCATGAATGATAATGAAGAAACATAACATGAAGTAGCCTATGTAAAATGTCGGATGAGAACTATTGACGAGTTACAGAACTAGGGCGAAACACATATCAAATACATCCTACGCTTCTTAGGTGATCTCAACTTAAGATTAAAACAATTTACAAACTAGCCTACTACCCACAAAATCACCCTGAAGCAATAATCAATGTGTAGATGGTATTTACCATAGATTGACCTCAGTCAAGGTATAATTGTGTACAAGCAAGATTTGAACTATTGTTTCGTTTTAGTATGGTACTACTCCGAAGTATGAATTGATGACACTTTTAAGGATCGAATCTGTAACCTTGCAAAGAGCAATTAGTTACTAGACTACTGAATTGGGTTATGAGTTATATTTCCAACTTCTTCAATCAATAATTGATTAAAACTGTTTTATCATGTAAAAGGATATCAAATCAAATTACTTGTTATAAAGTGAGTTATATAATCGTAAACCTTCTAATGATCCACAAATAGACAATAAATCTTCTTTAGCTAGACGAAGTATATCACAACCTAATGAGATAATTGAAAAGAAAAATCTAAATAAGTTAATATGTAACAACAACGGAACTGGAAGTAAACTCATAGGGGAAGAAAACAAAAAAATTGAAAAAAAAGTCGAATCTGTCTCAAATCAAAGAGAGAAAAAACGGAAAAGAAACATTTGAGAAAATCTTAGAAATTCAATGCAAAAATACAGAGCTGAATAAGAATTGTTGCAGATTTGAATTTCAATAGTTAGATAGTCATAGTCCAGAAAAGACCATCATATTTTTTGTCCACTCAGTTACAAGAAGGCATTAGTTAAAACACTATTTTATAGGGCAGAAAGGATATGTACCATTGACAAACTGGAAGAAGAATTGATGAACGTGAAAAAATGCCTGCGAGACAACTTTTACCCACAAAAGTTTATTGACAAATATAAAAAGCGTAAAGAAAACAATATTGAAGTAATTACGGTCAAGAAAAAACCAATTTCAACTTCAAAGGTGATGTTGCAAACACAATCAACAGGAGACTGAATACTGAGCTAGCCAGAACTTATCCGGCGGCCAAACTTCTAATTCTGTATAAAACAACATGTTCAGTAACTCAATCAAAGGTTGGTAAGCATCCTTTTCATGTTACCGACAATTGTATTTATAAGTTTACGTGTACCTGCCAAAGCAGCTACATTGGTCGAACAGAAAGGAGGGCATATCTCAGATTTTTTGAACATGTTCCAAAAAGCCTCAAAACAAGAGAAAGAAAGACTCGAAATAGTGCAATCACAAAACATCTTGATACAAGACATCAGGTCGATACCCTGCAATCATTCAAGGTGATTAGTAAGCAACCAAACTCTAGTCTTCTGAAGTTTGCTAAAGCAGTTGCTGTCAGACGCCAAAAACTTGATTTATGTGTTCAAAAGGAGATGGTTATTCAACTTTCCTTGTCTTGGTGACTAATATTCCTTCGTTGTACCTCAATGTGTTTTTTCCTTTTTCTTTCAACTCTTTGTCACATTTATTACTTCCTTGAGTTTTATTTCAACTATCTTCCAAATTAATAATCTTATTTTATGAACAGAACTCTACTCATTTTATTCCTATCAATGTTTACTTGTTTCTAACCGTTTGAACTGTTGTTACAATGTTCTTTTACATAAGGTATATATTCACAATATTCAGTCTATTCAATTTATTTACATCCTTGCTATAGTATACGAATATATCTTCAACATTAACTTCCAATCAAACTCTTTCATGTAAGTCATTTAAACCCATTATGTAATTATGATTTTCAATATCACAGGTTGTAAGCAACTGATGAGAACCGATGAAATAAGAATGAATTCATGCTATTCTGCTAGAATATTTGTTCTTGCTCTTTTCAAAATGATAAACGGAACTATGTGTATGAAACAAATGAATTCATTATTAATTCTAGATTATCATTTTTCGATTACAAGCCTTCGATGTAATTAATTTGCTCACATTGTGATGTCTACTACTTAAGTTGACAGACATAAGAGATAGCTGATAGAAGATGCACAAATGAAGTACATGATCTTCATACTTTACGAAGACATTGTAATTTCTCATTTAACAATAAATTACTTTTCTCCAACTGAGTTGTCGTCCACTACAACATTAGTGACGTAATATTGGGATGTTTGCCGAGTCAAATTCAACCCGTTGTCGCGATTTATTTTGGTTAACTTCCGATGTAACTTCATTGTATTCAGTTACTTGCTCTTCAATGCATTTTACATGCATTGATTATTCCACCATAATTTTGTATTGAGTGACAATAACTCAGTTCATAAAACTATAAAACTAATAATAATTTAGCTGATAACTGAATTAGCGTGGATGTAAATCTACTCTTCTTTGACCTCATCTAATATATCCTCTTAATATGATTTTTATTTTGAAGCAGTTGGGGAGTAGAAGCGCGTGGTATAACAGTTGTCGTTAAAGTTATCGCTTTATATTCTTTATCTGTAACGTGTAGTCAGTTTACTAATCATAAATAAATGTATTATCGTTTAGGAAGGAAATATGTCTATAAACCTATGAAATACTTGATCAGTGATATTGAGGGTTGAAAATATCATCTTCAAGTAGCACATTCATTTAGATCTGTTTTCAGAATATCATAAAACATAAATTAAAAGAATTCCCTTAATGAATAACATTGTCTAATCCCATCATTGGTTTGCAATAATAAAGAGACGTAACTGTATTCCACAAAATCTTTACAAGTACAGCACGACGCCAAAACTTTTTTCAACAGGCAATCTCAGAAAACTGTCCCCGATTGTTGGTCTGAAAAACTTGTAAACCTATTCAGTCATTTGGCAAAGGGTGAACATGGGAATAATGGATTCATTGTTGCATGAAAATTGAGCGAATCGAGAAGATTTAATCTTTTTATGAATATCGGAAGATCTGAACGGTATGATGGTAGCCAATATTTTAGACACAACTGGTAGCAGATTTATTCTAAGATGCTGACTGTCATGCATGCCACCTAGGCTCTTTATAATAAAGATGCATAACAAAACTGTTTCAATTTAAAGTGATAACACTTAGCTAGTGAGTCAGTCATCAACGTACAGCCCGGAACCAATGTGTGTTGGTCTGAGTTTTCATACCACGCGAGTTGAATTTAACAAGAATATCAAAAAAGATCGAAATAATGTGGTAAAAATGATTTTGAGAAAGACTGAACAGTGAGAATATTTTTTAAAACGATGGAGTAGGACGGTAAGTGTAAGTAGAAAAACGAGGGTTCAAGATCGATAGGAAAATAAAAGACGAATGTATTTGCATCGTTGTGAATAATTTTGAGGCATACCACCCAAACTCTCCAAAAATTAACCCGTTATCGTACAGGTCCCAACCACGTAGTATGCATCTACTAACATACATTAATCAGATACTCTTAACTTTAATCAATTTGAAATTTAGTTCCAGTGGTGTAGTTGCAACACAACAACTGCAACGTAAATACATTCGTTGTCGAAACATTAAAAAAAACACGTAACATTAACGACAACAATACAAGCATTCAAAGATTTAAAAAATAATGTTAAATAATATTACCTGTGAAATTCTTAAACGTTTCAAGAAGATTTTCAAAATTTGATTGACAAAGCCAATCTGCAACCTGTGATGCTGTCATTTCACAATGTACTACAGATGATATATTTGAGGTAGTAATAGTAGTGGGTTTAACAGTAGCAACAGAAGTATTTATAGATGATGGACAGACAGATGTTGATGATGATGTTGACGACAATGATGATGATGATAAAGAAGGAATTTCAATTTCCGGTTTATTCGACAAAGAAACTATTGAATCACATGACGTAGCTTCATGAACTACAGAGTTTAATTTATCCATACATAAATCTTCAAATTTCAACAAATCTGCATAATCGTCATCATTATTATGGTGAACATTATTATTATTACTATTGTTCTCTGTACAATATTCAATTTGTTCTATGACTCTGTCTTCGACAGTAGGTCTGGAAGGTGACGATACTAACAGATCACTACAATAACCCATATCACGACTTGCTGGAGTTGCACTGGACATGCTTAATAAAGGATCCTCATCCGATTGTGCTATTACTACTGAATTAAGAGGATAATCAGGTAGGATGATAGATGATGGTTTGGATTTCTGATCATCATATTTATCTAATATAGTATATTTATTTAATTTACCATTATTCCCTAGACTAGACGATTCGCCTGATGTACTCAATTCATATACTCCTGAATGATGGTTATTATTTATGGAATTTGACTGATGCGAAGGAATATTCATTTGAATCGATTTGGACTAAACAATACATAGACACACAAACATACAAAGAAATAACAATTAAAATTCAACTATACGGCATCTGGAAGGAAATTTTTAAATAGATTACAAGTTAAAAGACAGTTAACAAAGAGAAATTTAATACTCGATATGAAACTGTTATGTTTGCTACTTGACTACGACTAATATGACATGCAACTTCGGTACTTGAACGTGTACATCCTTCTCCAAGTCGCGAATCAAAATGCAAAATAAAACAGGGAAAGCGTTTGCTACAGTAAATATCAGAAATGTACAGAAAAACATCTGTATTTGTAGTGGTTGGTATATGCTGTAATATCGTCATAATCCATGAAGTTTAATTGCAGCACCTTAAGTCGATATTCTAGAAGATTCTATCGGATATTAATTGGATGGGATCTCTATGGCCTCTTTAAAGCCTCTGAAGGCTTCATCACATTTTCCGCGAACCGTCCCAATAGAAATTAAAAGTTTTGTAAAGAATATATAAGATTGTGAGAGACTTTAGGAAAGTTGATACAACTAGGAGAACAAACCCAAGAGTAATGAAAATCTGTTTTGCTAACAAATCACGTGAGATCATTCAATACGCTGTTGTTAAAAGGTACAAAACGGCAGACATCAGTGGTGAGAAACACAAAACACTAACACAATTGACATTTTTATGGGTCAATTTATAGTAGTATATAATCTGCTTTCACTAAATTACTTATTATTCTCACGCTTAAAGGGATAATTACCTTTGGGAATTCAGTCAAATGGGAACCGTTTTCATAACTATGTGCAGCTCTCCTTCTCTCTGAAATCACTGAGGCTTGTTTGGCACGATTTGTTGAATTGTCCCAGTTTGTGCACATCATTCTATTTTTATTACTTCGTATCCATCGGGAAGCACTTCGACAACTGCGTCCACATGATGAACAAGTCCCTGCACAACAGTCTCCTGCTCGAAGACGTCTACGTCGTTGAAGACATGGCTGTATAGTATAATTAAAACGCCTATTAGAAGATGGAGAAGGTGATATACCCGGAGATACATTTCTTAACGCTGAATATGCCGAACGATGAATTGGGTAAGTAGGTATAACAAATTCCGAAAATGACCGATTGGAAGCACTAGATGATTCGATTGGGTTAGGTATTGCAAAATTGTTACTTGTATCATTTAAATCCTCTAGTGTAAAATTATCCTTCATCACCGCTTTCTCCACTCGTGCCAAACTATGAATACAACCAATAAAAAAATAATTGGAATACGATATGCAAATCTTAAGTAATTTGATGGACTGCCAGTCTCCATACACAACCGAAGAAACTTATCAGTCAAATACGTAGTGGTCATTACGTGAAAAGCAAACAATAGTTCAAAGACACCTACAGTGGACAACCTGCAGCATGAACATCTCTTCTGCTTTAATAGACTATACTTCACAGCAATAGAGTAATATGGAACGGAATGCTGCACAGTACACTCATTATTTCGTTGATATGGATTCAGCTAAAGCCACATGCGAAGCAAGTTATCAAAATGTAACTGAGATTTCTGAATTTGGAACTTGATAAATTAGTTATTTCGAGTCAATCTAAAATTCATACAACATGAAACACCATTAACAATAGTCAACATGGGGATTGTACTGGATGATGAAATATTTCATTTGTATCTTTAGAACTTAGTTATTTCACTAATCCTCACATAGGAATTGTGACTGAAAGTCAAGTGCGTAGCTATAGTTAATCTCAGTAGCCCATTAAACTTTAATATGTATTAAAAGTAGGAAAAACTGGTAATAGTTTCTTTTTACCCTATTTATTATTATTAACTCATTTACTAGGTTCAACTTTGCATACTTGGATTCGAGCTACACTCTAAATGTGAGGGCTAGTAATATTAACAGGTTGTCCAAACCGAAATAGGTCAATAGGGGTTCGAATCGAGAACTTGCTGGCTGAAAGTCGAACCTCTCAACCACTGACCCACACCCCAATCTATGATCACCCTCATATAATCCTTGAGGATAATAGACAAATAGTTGGATGGAATAAGTCAAGATTATATTTGAGACAACTACTTCGTCGAATGAAACCATATGGAAATCAATGAGACCAGAGTGAAGTATACAAACCCGGTACACCTGATGAAGCGGTAAATTTCTAGATTTCAAGCAAGTTTTTTTTAGCATCGAGGAGGATATTAATGACAGTAAATAAAATGCTTCAATGACTCGGATATAAAAGAAAATTAGGATTTCCATGAAACCATTTAGTACCAAACAGTCAAACAGTAACTTACTTCTGTAAATCCAAACTACTCATGTCTACTTTAAATTGTTGGCATGAATTATTGCAAACAGACGTGACTATTGTAGCGGAAGTGGTAAGAATTTGTGTATTTGTCACTTTTATCGGTTGCTCTGTAAAAGTATCGTCGATCGCCGACTGCTTGTCTGTTATCGATTGATAATGACCATGGTTATGATGGTGATTATGAAATAGCTTAACTTGCTTGCTAGGTAAATATGATAATTTAGTCACAGGAACTGATGGTTTATAAATAGCCTGGAGATAACATAAAATAATGTTGATTACTTACGATAATAAAATGAGATGATTCACAATTAGTCGCAGTGGAGTAGTTATACTCACTATAAGATCATGAGTTTTAAAATTATTTTATGCTTATAATTCCCTGAACTAAATCATTCCTCTTAAATTATAATCTCTATGTAGACTTTTTGATTAATAATGATGAAACTGATTATTAAAATAGGAGAATTTGTGGACACTATAGAATTTTCATAGTTTTAAATCACGAACTGAACTTAGCTAGACCACCAGTGAAAAATAGAAAGCACTTGACGACCATTTCGTTCCAACAGTGGGCATTCATAACCTCGCATCAAGGATCCGAAGCCAGGACGTTAGATTTCGCATGCAAATGCTCAAACTCTAAACCACTGACCCAGCATCTAATGGTATTAATGTCTAACTTCAATCAATTCACGATATTGTGCAATCATCATCCATTGCCTGAGGTGGAAAACTGTCTCACATCCAAAATGGTTGAACTCCATTGGTCACGGTTTCTCACTGGAACTTGGGAGGTTGCATCAAGAGGCTAGTCACTGGTGAACATATTATTACTAGAATAGGATTACTAGTACCACTGCCACTGTTTTTTTATTTATCCTTAAGATTTCGTTTTGTTGTATTGATGTACGGTAATTTGACTCGGTGCACATTTATTCTAGTTTAAACGTCGAATATAATTGACTGGCATTTAAATAATGAACTTTGTTGTATATAATACGAGTTTCAGATTTTTTAGTTTATTTTGACAAAAAAAGAGAAAAGAAAATAATTTGTAGTATAAACGCTTTGGAACTTTCAGGTCAGGTGATGGAAACGTCGCCACTGATAATAGTACGACAAAATCAAATGACTGTTATCTGGAAACTTCAACAAACAAGAGTCGCACTACGTGGTGTTCGCGCTACATCGGGTATTGTGTAATTGAAACATGAAATACTATTCATCAGATAACAATCGACTGGGTTGATAGTAACATGAACATTACGAAGCGTGTAGGTCGTATAGGCCAACAAAGTATATTAATGAATCCCAAACAAAAGGTTTTACAAGAGCTTGCCATCTCTACAATGATTCTATATTAATGCTATCCGTTAATTTGATAAACGTTCGGAAAAAAGGTGAAAGTTAAAATCGAGAAGTAACAAATTATATTCAAAATGCATTTACCTGACCATCACTAGATTTACGTTCTATTCTTTCTCGATCTGTTTTATGCTTACGATCAGCTCCCTTCATTTTGAATACTTTAATTTGACAAGCGAATGATCCCAAATGTTGATTAGTATCATATTCAAAATGTTCTACCTAAAGATTTTTTGTAAAAATAATCCCCGAATTAAACTATTAAAACAAACGGTTAGATAGTCAGTCAATCAGCTACAACGCACGACCAAGCACATGTATGCACCGGTCCAAGTTGTCACACCTCATTACCATAACGAGATGAACATCAAATTCATAGATGCAGTTACTTTAATTGTAGTAATATTTATAAATAAACATTAAATATAGAAATATAATACAGGGAGAAAGAATTAGTTCAAAAAAAAGTATAAAGTAATTTTAATCTCACGGTTTAAGGGAAGACAAAGAGTGTATACACTGTTATATCCCGACGAGAATATTGTAATATATTGTAATATTGTAATGAACTAATTTAATTAAATACCATAAATACTAAAAACAAACAATCTTATGTTGTTTGTTGATGTCGTCTATTTTTAAATTACATTGTTAAGGGATACATAAAATTTTTATTAAGTACAGACTTATATATCTGACTATTAGGCAGTTTAGGTGAGAGCTAGTGAAGCTAAATAACTTTACAAACTGGAATGCAAGTTAGGAAGTGATTAAGTCCATGGTTGACATAAACCCTCAAACTTTTATAATGTACATCGTTTTTAGAAAATGAAATTGCAAAAATTAAACAAAATTAACATTTCATAGTTCAAATCACTAACCCACCTTTGTTAAACAACTACTGAAAGTCAAGAATCATTGTACAATCTTATCGTCCTAGTAAGCGATCTCCCTAGTAGTACGTATTTACAACTCGATTGAAGGTCGAACCTAAGACTAGGTTTCATTGAAAACCCTCAAACTTTAAGCTAACTAGCCTGAATTTAATGGTCCAACTTTAATCAATTCGCAATACTGTTCAAATATCATCCAATGTCATTGGCAAACCACTGCCTCAGTTCCGATATGGTTGAATTTTACCGGTAAAATACAGCTCACTAGATCTCCGAGAATCATCTCTTGCAATACCAAGGATTGATTGAAGCTAGAAATATGAGTCATTGGGTGTTAATCCAATGATCTGTAAATTAACACCCACTTTGAGATGAAAAGGTTCTAGATTTGATTCCTGGCGGGGTCGAGGAATCCTTTACAGAAATGAAATAACAGACTTGTGCTTCCAGGCTTTTAATGACTGTCTACGACCAATTTTTTACATGAAACAAAGAAATTCAACTATCTGCATAAACCCCCTAAACTAATAAAAACCAACTTACCCGAAATCGAAAAGGAATTCCTTTTTCACCACCATGTTTCTTAGCAGTGAATTCAGTACTGACACAATTAAATCGTAAACCAATAGTACATTTCGGATATTTCCATACACATAATATATCATCTGATGGAGTATTTTCATTATCTAATTCTTCATAATCATTCGATCTTTTATAATCTTTAAGGTGGGTTTTTTTTGAAGAAAAATAAGGATTTACTCAACAATATGAGTGGAATTATACTTGCTAATTTTTAATTTATCCAAGTCGCATATATATATATATATATATATATATATATATATATATATGGTTAGCTTACAACTCAACACAGAAAGCGGCGTAACTCACACAGGACTTTTTGCGCTAGTCGAGATAATAGTATCCATTGTAATGAAAAAAAACTTAGACATAGGTGATAAAGAATAAATGTACTGAGGTCTCACAAATCGAAGCTAAAAAACCTATACCTCTTGATATGATTCAAATCAACAGTGAATGACCTGAATGACTGACGCTACGTTTTGGTTTTTCAGCTCCACTGCTAGATGGAGTAATGTGCAGATAATATGAAACAAAGCAAATGCATGTAAATGGGTTTAATAAAGCCATTTTATCCAAGTTGGTGGACTCGTAAAAATTGACTAGTTTAGATATGTTCATCAAAATCAAATGATGAAAATTATAACTACTGTTTAATTACATTATTCTGTGTACGTTCAAACTTTTAAGAGATGTTTAAGAGGAGTTTAGATAGTCGACAGTAATTTAGACGATCAATTGGTTTTAAGCTAGAAAACATGAAGTCCTTAGAACATCATAACTTATCATTTGTGATTACAACTAAAACCTAATGTAGCCATCGCCCTTGTGCTATCAGGCATTGTCGTTCCTTTACTCGAGACACAACCATTGGTATATTTATTCATTTGCTTTTCATCATATTAACTTCTTTATATTGTGTTATTGTGAAGAACGGTGACTTGGATCAACAACCAACTTTGCTCGGTTATACATTAACTATGTTTCTGTCTATCAATCAAAGTAGATACAGTCATTTTGATATATGGTCCGAAAGTTGAAAGTGCGATGTTTAGACAATGAAATTACAGCTCTACTTTTGTATGGACCACTTGAAATATTTGATGGCGATTGGCTGTATAATCTGGAATAAATATCCCTTACATCGAACTTATCGTCTAGCGCATAACAGTTATATTTATTTGATTAATAGCTTGCGAACACATGTTTAGAAAAAGGATAGATGGGAAGTAAGCCTTAAAGAAGATTTAAAAGCAATCTATATGCGAATAAAACATAAACATTCTACAACTTTAAGTAGAAATCTGGAATATCATTACGCTCACCTATGTCTAGGAGGTTTTCACCAGGGTGTGTTTGATGCCAGTTATCCCAAAGCTCGTGTTCATTTAATTCCATCCGTTTATCATAGAAAGTAACTCGAATCCATGTCTACAAAGAAAAATGAGAACAATAATAGGCTCAGATTGAAGATAAAGACGTATAGATGTAAAAGAAATAAACTGATATAAGCAACGTCGTAAAGGCTTGAAAACTAAATCAGTCAGTCAGTAACAATGTAGAACTTCGTACGTACGTACATCAGTCCGAGTTGCCATACCACATTAGCACAGAGATGCAGTTATCGATCCAAATCCCGTAGTGGTAGAGGCGGTAAGAGTATAAGTAGTAATCGGAAAGATTAGGGTTTGAAGATGTTATTTAAAGAGTATAATCCAGTGAAATAAATTTGGAAAGGGAAAAAAGAGACAAGGAGGATTCAGGAGATTAGAATTTGGGAGAACACAAAGAGTGGATGCACCTGCGTCATTGCAAACGATTATGAACCATGTCAATATAATTACAATCAAATATCAAAAATTCATTGATGGAAACAAAAAGACGGAAATCTTCGCAGTGAGCTAGTAAAAATAGTTCACAGTTAAATGGGAATTTCACATGAAAAAACACCGAATTTATGAATACTAAGTCAAGAAACTGTTATTCTATTGCTTTTATTGTTAACTGTTTCAGAATTATGCAGCCTTTTCTGATTAGCTTATAAATTTCCCAAGATCGTCAGTATAATATACCTTCACCGTGTTGTGTATTATTTTTCCTGTCTATCCAATTAACATAGATCCCACTGAGTATTAGAATAATCGCTTTCAACCATCCTATTTCAATTCACAACAAATATCTAAGTGGATTGTAGTAATGCCATGTCTAGTTGCTCTCCAAGATCGCAATACGATTCCATTATGAACGAATTAATTGATAAACCATGAATATAAATTCTCCGTTCGATTTCGAATATTGTACATAGGCTAACCCCGTTTGGGTGACAGCGGTAATAAAAAGCCAAATAATAATTAAGTTGGAAGAATTTGTTTCAGTCACTTGTCTATTCGGATATACACCAAGACGAAAAATACGAAAGTGAAGCAAAAGTAAGCGTACTAACTCATTTAGACAAAGCGTGGCTGTTTATGGTCAGGTAGAAAAAGCTAAAAACATATGAAAAATAAAATCATCGATACACACATATACACTCAAATAAAGTTATAGGTGAACAACTGATAAGGTCAAAATAAGTGTGGATACTGACTCAAAAAGAACGAATTGATTGGTCTATCTAAAATCAAGACTAATCCATGTAGGCGTGACATTGTGCTAGATGTCATAGCCTTGATCTCAGTGAATGAAATGAAACGCACTGACAATTACTATCCAAACATTTAATCAATTTGTTGAGACAGATGACATCGAGGTTTCCACTTCAAGCGTTTATGTATAGACGTAAATTGATTGAATTTAGTCCAAGAATGTCAACAACAACAAAAATATAAACTATAGCAACCAATAACGAACATGAAGTTTCAAAACGATATGAAATATACGAATTTCCACTGCATATATATATATATATATATATATATATATATATATATATATATACAATTACTGCGAATTACCTTGATAAATTTTATCTCTGGTGTTTTCGAGTTCAATTTAAGCTCATACGTTTGTCCTGTAAATAATTATAAGAATATAAGTATGGGATAAGCCTGACAGAATAGACTATAAAGTGATGAAGAAAAGTTTTAGTTCAAAAGGATGCTTTAATAGTGTTTAATTCTCAGAGTTAGATGGTTTAAATGAAGTAGGTGTCTAAAATGTCTAGAATGACAATGAAAGCTCTACAACTAAACTGTCCATACATGTATACAAATTTATATGCTTTGAATTAGGCATTTTAACGTGTATCACGTCAATTAGTGTAGCCAAGGTTATTCACTTATCACTATTCAATATTTATTATCTAATGATAGTTCATGATGAGAATTATCTTCAAATTATGGAGACGTCCACGAATCAGCTGCATAAATAATAGTTGTTCTATATTCTTCAGTGACCGACTATCTTTGAAATGAAGCTACTGAAAGTTCTGGTGAAAAATCTGTGATCGGTTGAATCAAGGAAGTCAATAGTGAGAAACTCTCTGACGAGATTTGCTATGACTTTTTCCCTGTCAATTATCACGTAATAAGATCGCTCATCAGAATATCGACTTAGATGACCTTGTTACTGTGTCAAACCAATGATGCGATAACCAGCACGAGCAGCCTAGAATCAACTCCGAGTCCTTATTGGTCCTTCTCATCTAACCCTACCCGTTGAATCGAGAACGTAATCTCAGCCCCCACTATATGAAACCTATAAATAGTTCCCGGAATTTGCCCAAAGTTTTATCTACTTCGGATACAAAATTATTATAACTTACTCATCATCTGGATATTTCTATGTATGTGGCTTTGAGTAACACTTTAAGTGTGATGGCTACAAATTGTGACAACTAGAGATGATAACCACTTTTTCCAGGTTTCATACTGTAAACAACTGAGTGAATTACAGCATAACTTTACCAAACAATTATAAGCATAAGCTATTGACACAAATGTTTTACACTGTAGTATAATATTTTGAATATAATATACAAAATTCATGGTTATTTCCTTAATCAGCATCATACAACTTTCCAACATACACAACAGGAAACTTTTTTAAAATAGTTTACGGGTGTTTTATAGCTGTTCTAAGACCATATTTATCTGCTAATTGTGAAACTACTTAATATTTTGCTAGAAGCAATGTAGAAAGTGTCTCCATTTTTACAACAGTATTCTAATTATTCCGCACTGTACTTTCCAAATAGAAACAATATGACTTGTTCAAAGAGTGGAACCATGTGAAAGGAATAAGAATTATTTTTACAGAAGAGGAAATGATTGGAAACAAGTATATATGGCAAATAATATACATATTCAATAATATAGAAATAAACTGAATCAACACAATAGAACGAAGACCAATATAAATGATAATATTTACCTTGATTTAAGTAAGTTAAAGACGCTTCACCTAATCGTGTAGCCGATGATGTTGGAGCTTTCAAAATGTTATCAAACAAATGAGAGTTTGTGTCAGCCATTGAAATAAAAGTATTGTCACTAAACGGAAATATTAAAGAAACATATTATTAAACAGGCAAACTTCAAAAACTAATTGCATATTTAAACTCGCTATGCAAATTAAGGTTAATTTCGATAGCATAACCAAGTCAAAAATCGAATAAAATGAAAACTAAAACAGTCTAAAAGTCATTCGGTTATAACATGAATTGTTAGTACTTAGTAATGAACAAACGAAACAGAGAAAGGAGCACTTTTAGGACGGTCACACAATATCAAATAAATTGAGGGTTTCATAGTCAGTCAGCTACAACGTAGGACCAAGCACATGTATGCATCGGTCCAAGTTGTCACACCTCATTACCATAACGAGATGAACACCAAATTCATAGATGCAGTTACTTCAATTGTAGCAATATTTATAAATAAACATTAAATATAGAAATATAATACAGGGAGAAAGAATTAGTTCAAAAAAAAGTATAAAGTAATTTTAATCTCACGGTTTAAGGGAAGACAAAGAGTGTATACACCTACACCATTGTAATCGATCCTGAGTCATGTCACTCACAGTCTTCAACCGCTGATTACGATAGTCGTGCGAACCCCAACAAAGTAGTCTGCATCTAATAACATGGTTCAGACCAGAAGTTGTAGGAAGTTACATAAGAGGATATTGAATATTCACTTGAAACATAAAATACTTGGTTAAATTTTCCCTACCTTGGTTTGAAATTTTCACTAGTTTTATTCTACTCTGTTGATAAGAATTCTGGGAACTTCGAATAATCCAGTAATCTGCTACGTTATACTTCGTTTCGTTTAGTCTAATTATATTACACATACATATCATGTATGCAAAGCAATTGTAAAGAGAATTTGTAGCTCAAGGTGAGGATTTTGAAGGCGTTTCGTCCTCTTAGCTGGATGGTTTAATTGTGACGCTTTTATTGTTTTTCTGGAACTCTTCTCAACTCTGATGATGTCATCGAGAAAGACAATGAAAGCTTCACGATTAAACCGTCCACCTTAAAGAACAAAACACATTCAAAAAGCAAGGCAATGAAATAAAATATGCATTGATTACTTTGAAGAAGATATGAATTTAATCCAACGAAATAAAAAAAACTGAAATCAACCTTTTTGATTATGAAAAGATCACACCATAGCTCTCTTGAATTATTTGACCCAGTTTTCAAATAGTAGTCAGGATTTTTATTAAAGTAAACTTCGATGTACTTTTAAATAGAAAGTTGTCATATTTACTTATTATTCTACTACTGAACTATTGGATTTAAACTTGATATCTTTTTGGCCCATAAATTCTTAAACTTTCGATATGTTAAACTGATAATATCAAGTAGATGTGATGAGCTACATAGGTCACGTATTTTCATGTTGCATTCTTTCGCATACGAATAGTGAACGATGAAATTTTTGATTGAGCTGGTAAACTATGGAGAAATATTATTGATTTTATCCGTTGCTAATGGGTGCTTCACCTTAATTTGTTGACTGCTGACTTTTATTTGTAATAACAAGTGTATACATGCCAAAAAAATACTAAAATAAGAGGACTGAATACCAAAACCCTCCCTTGTAATTTCAAAGTACCAATATGTTAATCAAAAGAGTTCGTCGTCACTATCAGAAGCTAACTAAATATCATAGACTCACTGCAACTTATCATCACCTAGTTACTTTTTTTTGAATGCTTATGCTTATCAATTCTATGTACAAACTTGTTAGGGACGTACATATTTATTATTTAAAATGATACCGAAAATGTCTTAGAAATAAATTATACCAAATGACATGATAGAAATAAAACGAATAATATGAGAACTAAAACTTACACAGTCTGCGCCGAATTACTAGACAACATAGAGAAACTTGATAAACCTTCATGGTTTGAATCATCAGAAAGCTTACTTTCATCATTACAGAGTGGTAAAGCTGATAGAGCGTCACTACATAAAATAGTTCAAATAAAAATGAAAATAAAAAGAATATTATAGCATCTTGTCAGTCCCACTCTTAGTTGATTGAAATATTAATTTTCCAATTAAGCGAAAGAACAGTAGTCTATGCATCTTGTATTAATAGAACTACTGAAGCCTAATTAAGTTCACATGCAGGGTACTTAGTTATAAACTACTTTAAGCTACCTTACTTGTGTAACTAGCGGTACTATCCAGCTGACAGAACAGACGTAGGTGGAGAGGATTATGGATTTGACACCTAATAATCAAAATCCAGAATCTTTAACCACTGAACAAGCGCTACATAAACATAATAACAGCACATACTTTTCTTTGAAAATATGTATTACAATTAGCTATGGAGAACCTACAAAAGAATCCAATTAATGAAAATCTGACAGCTGTTTTCCACTTCGCTAATAACATAGTTTACTTAATGCTAGGAAACTTTTAAGACACATTGAAGCAATTTTCGAGTACTCGCCCACCAGCTATTATAACTTCTTCAAAATCGATTGATTTCCAATGACTTAAGGAACTCATGATTATTGAAACAGTAACGATCACACACGATTCGTAGTTAAATAAGCCACATTTGTCGTATATTACCATGTATCAATTAGCGACACATTATGGTGGTGAGAGCCTTTCACAACAATATGTAGTGTTTCCACTGTAAGATGTGCAATATTAGAAGTGACTGTATGGGTGATTACTATTGTTTCACCGTATAATAATCGGTTTTTGCACGAAAACCGTCCAGTTTTCTGCATAAAGATATTAGAATAAATTACGGAACGCTAACGTAGATTTCAGAAAGCGTACATAGCACTCATAAATAACACATTAATAGCCAACGAACACTATCGCGATACATTTAATGTCAAGAGCTAAAAAGGTTCTATAAATAAAACTATGAGGTAAACTACCACGTGATACATTTTACATCGTTACAAGCAACCCATAACAATTAAGAGCAGTCTCACATACTTATATCCCCTCTTCAAAAAAAGCGACATATAAATGACTATCAAACAAGTTACACTGTAGAAAAAGATAGTAGTCATCACTAACCAAGAAGGATGCAGTCCCAAATGCCCTGGTACGGCCGAGAGTGGGGAGAGTCCGCTCTCCCTCTCGAAATGCTCTCACATGGCCACGCGTATATAGCCTCTGCCAGGGAAGTCCGACTCACTGCCTTCTCATGGCGGGGGTGTTGTTTACGAAAATGAGGACGAAAAGCGAATGTCGGGTGCTTTAACCGGATTCCAAACCAATGGTGCACATGGGCTCCAGTATCCTGAGGGAACAAATGGCGTATGAACCAATCGTTGGTCACCGGCTTCCATGAGACTGCATCTTCCTACGATTCTCCACTGCCTTGTGGATCAGACCTTCAGGTCGAAGGCTCGGGGAGTGGCCCCCTAAGATAACCACCTGCTTCGGTTTGGGCACCCGGGCAGTATCACAGCCCTCACCCATATCAAATGAGATCTGTGTTGCGCATATGTATTTGGTGCCTCCTTGTACCAATATCTATGTGCTAAAATAAATAAATAAATGACATAAACTGATATACCACTTAGTTCGGCTTTAAGCAGCACCACGAAACTTAGTAATGATGGAGGTAAGCAGTACCCAAAACGCAAAAGATATTTCAACACATTAGTAAAATTTGGCTTTGAAAAGCAGCGAGTATTGTAATTGAGAAAAAATATGTAGAAATTAAAGCTTTCGAAAATTCATCCTAACTTTTTCTAAGATCTTCAAATCGACCAGAGGCCACTGGAAAGGATGGAAGCCTTCGCCTAATAGGCTTCCGTATATAGTAACAGTGGATCACCGATACCATCAGGTTTGAATCTAGGCATAGTTAATGATACTTACTTACTTACGCCTGTTACTCCTTGTGGAGGAGCATAGGCCGTCCACCAGCATTCCCCATCCAACCCTGTCCTGGCCAATACTTTCCAGCTCCTTCCAGTTGTTATTCATCCTTTACATATCTGATTCTATTTCACGACGTGATGTGTTCTTTGGCCTTTATCTTTTTCGCTTACCTTCAGGATTCCAAGTTAGAGCTTGCCTCATGATGCAGTTTGATGATTTGCGTAATATATGTCCCATCCACTTTTATCGTCTTTTACTAATTTCCTCTTCAACTAGAAGTTGGTTTGTTCTTTCCAACAGAAGGCTGTTGCTGATGGTATCCGGCCAATTCATGTTGAGTATCTTACATAGGCAACTATTTATAAATACTTGTACTTTCTTGATGATGGTTGTAGTAGTTCCCTAAGTTTGGGCTCCGTACAGTAGAACTGTCTTGACGTTCGTATTGAAGATTCTTACTTTGATATTGATTGAGGTTGTTTTGAGTTCCATATGTTCTTCAATTGTAGGAATGCGGCCCTTGATTTGCCGATCCTCGCCTTTACGTCTGCATCTGAGCCTCCTTGTTCATCGATTATGCTTCCTAGGTATGTGAACGATCCTACATCTTCTAGGGTTTCGCCATTAAGAGTGATTGGATTGCTGTTCTCCGTTTTGAATTTGAGAACCTTGATTTTCCTCTTGTGTATGTTGAGCCCTACTGATGTAGAGACTGCTGCTACACTGGCTGTCTTTATCGGCATTTGTTCATGTGTATGCGATAGGAGGGCTAGGTCATCTGCAAAGTCCAAATAGTCTAATTGGTTCTGAGCTGTTCATTGTATTCCGTGTTTTCCCTCAGAAGTCGAGGACTTCATAATCTAGTCGACCACCAGAAGAAAGAGAAAGGGAGAGAGTAGACAGTCTTGTCTGACTCCAGTCCTTACTTGGAATGCATCTGTCGGTTTTCCTCGGTGCACGACCTTGCACTGTATTCCGTCGTGAGTTCCGGATAATGTTGACAATCTTTTCAGGAACTCCATAGTGTTGAAGTTTCCGTAACGTCTTCCTATCTACACTGTCGAATGCCTTTCGTTAATCAATGAAGTTGATGTACAGTGACAAGTCCCACTCAATTGATTGTTCAACGATGATCCGTAGTGTCGCGATTTATTCTGTGCACGACCGATCCTTACGGAATCCAGCTTGTTGATCTTGATGTTGGGTGTCTACTGCATCTTTCATCCCATTCAGCAACACTCTGTTAAAGGCTTTCCCTGGTACTGGCAGTAGTGTGATGCCTCTGTAGTTTTCACATTTGCTCAGATCTCCTTTCTTTGGAATCTTGATGAGGTGCCCTTCTTTCCAGTCCATCGGCACTTGTCCCTCTTCCAAATCTTTTTGAATAGAGAGTGAAGCATGTTTGTAGTTACTTCGATGTCTGACTTCAGTGTTTCAGCTGGTATGTTGTCGTGTCCTGCTGCTTCCCCGCTCTTGATTTGTCTGATGGCCATTCTGATTTCTTCCGTCATTGGTGGATTGGCATCTATAGGAAGATCTGTGTGTGTTGCTTCGATGTCCGGCGGACTCACTGGAGCCGGCCTATTCAGGAGTTCCTCGAAGTACTCTACCCATCTGTTCGGCTGTTGCTGAATTTCAGTGATCGGCCTGCCTTCTTTGTCTTTGACCGGCCTCTCTGGTTTACTGTATTTCCCTGCTAGTTTCTTCGTTGTATTGTAAAGTTGTTTCATATTTCCTTCTCTTGCTAGTTCTATCACGTATTTCTTCTTGTCGGCTCTAATGCTCTTTTTCACTTGCTTGTTTGCTTCTATGTACTCAACTTGTGGTTGGACTTTCTCTGCTCGTGTTCGGCTGTTGTTAATTGCTGCCTTCTCGTTCTTCCTTTCTTTGATCCTGTCCAGTGTTTCTATAGAGATCTATTCCTTATGATAATGCTTCATCAGGTCCAAAACCTCTTGATACGTTGAAGTTAATGCTTCTTTGATACCTATCTAGTTGTCGTCCATAGTAGTTTCTTCTTCCTTCAGTAGATCCTGTAAGGCTTGAGACCTGTTGTTGAGAGCTATCTTCAATTCATTGGGTTTGTCAGTATCTCAAAGGAAGGCTGTATTGAACCTTTGTATTGCAGTTTGTCCAGTTTTTCTTTAGCTTCAGTTTTAAATTGGCCACAACTAAGTGGTGATCTGGAGCTATGTCAGCTCCTCTCCTGGTTCTTACATCTTCCATTGTCCTTCGGAAATTTTTATTGATGCAAATATGATCTATCTGGTTCTCTGTGTTGTGGTCCGTTAAGATCCATTAGGTTTGTGTGGAAATATTGTGCATCCTATGACCGATTTGTTGAGAGCACACAGATTTGGAAATCCTTCTACATTTTCGTTTCTGTGTCCAAGTCCATGTCGTCCCATGATATTTTCATATCCGGTGTTGTCTATTCCGACTTTGGCGTTTAGACTTTTCATCAGAATGATGAGGTCCTTTCTTGGGCACTTCTCTATGATTGATTGCAGCCGCTCGTAGAATTGATCTTTAATGTCGTCGATGCTTTCATTGGTGGGTGCATAACATTGGATAATATTCATTGTGATCCCCTCCTTCTTCGTTTTGAATGATGCTTTGATGATTCAAGATCCGTAAGATTCACACCCTAGAAGTGCATTTCGTGGTACAACATAGCAGAGCGGTCGTAGGCACACCTTCTACTCGTTGAGAGTAATCAGATGCTGGAATTCTCTGCCTTCTGAGCTAGTGCAAGCGGCTTCCAATGAGTCCTATAAGAGAGAACTTGACATATTCTTAGGGACTAAGGACAGTATTTCGTTATAATTTACTGACGTTTTTCTCATTTATCATTAAAAGTGCCTAGGTTCCAACCTGATGGTATCAGTGATCCACTGTTACTATATACGGATGCCTGTTAAGCGAAAGCTTATTTTATTCTGTGCAAAATCATTGAAACATATCGGCAGATTTTGTGCGAACATGAATAAACTTATATAAAGATGCATTATTCTTGATGAGTTGAGAAAATGAAAATTATATGAAGCACTCTTAACCTAATTTACCCAGGTCTTGACAATACTCTCCCTCAAAGATGCTAAAATGGAGAACTTACCGCATATTAAACATTGATCGGACGCCTACGCCGATGCCGTTCATCGTATCATCGAAACATGCAGACAAATCAGCTTCATCAAAACTCCAAGACGAGCTCTCTGCCATCACAAATAGGCTGATAGACAACTGGTTGTATGGAGGCTACGCAACCTTCGATTACCGCGCTTCAAAATCGAATGGTTCAGTCTTCAATCTTTAGTAAACAGGATAGGAGGTCTATTGACCTATATTAATTCTTGCAGTTTGTGATACTGTGAAGGTACAATCTCGTTTTGAATATATCAACGGAAGGTGCTGATATTACGTGTTCTGGTAGAGAATTCCAGTAATTCACTACTCGGTGCGAGAAACGAAACTTCAGACGTAAACGATTTCATCTAGGTTTTTGAACTTTCTCTCAAGTGATCAGTCCTGGACGGAATTAAGAGATAAGACATGTTAGTACCAAGGTCATCGTTCAGAATACGATAAGCCAACATTAGATCACTCCGTACTCTACGGTAAGAAAACGGAAATAAGTTAATGTGTCTCAGTCTGTCTTCATGAGATAGGCTAGATAGACCTTGTACCATCTTAGTACCTCGTCGTTGGACTCTTTCCAGCATCTCTGCTTCATACTTGAAACAAGGACTTGCTGCTTGAATCCCATATTCCAAATGTGGTCGCACGTAAATCGGGTATAATAATCTAAACATTTCATCATCTAAATACTGGAAAGACCTACGAATAAACCATAATACCCTATAGCCTTTCGCAGCAGCAGCCTTACAGTGACTAGTGGTTTCGAGATCACTGCTCAGTATGACTCCTAAATCTTTATAGGTTCTTACTTTGGATAGCACGAATCCACATATTGTATAGTGATACGATTCATCATAGTTAATTATTTGCATCACCACACTCTTATTAGGAGTAACTTCTAGTGATCACCTGTCCAACCATGCCACCAATGAATTTAAAACCAGAATGGGAGACTTTATTGAAGGTCTTATTTAGATCTATGAAGATCATATCCACAGGAATATATCGATCTTTTGCAGCAGCCCAATCTTCTCTTGCAATGAGAAGATTTGTCAAGCATGATAGGCCTCTCCAAAGACCATGTTGTTCCCTGGAGAAAAGGTTATGCCCTTCAACATAGTTTATAACAGATATCGAAATGATTTTTTCAATCAGTTTTACAACTGCACAAGTTAAGCTAACGGGTTTATGGTCACTAAATAAATCCCTACTCCCAGCCTTATACACTGGACTTATTATAGCGTCTTTCCAGTTTCTGGGCAGTCTAGACTGCCTCAGAGACTTGTCAAACAGTATCGCTAATGGTGAAGCAATTACATCTTATATGGCTTTCTTAATCCTGGGATGAATATCATCAGGACCACTGGACTTATCAGGTTTGAGATGCTGAAGTAGCCTTAAAACAGTACCTTTCTCAATGACTACAGAGTCCATCAGCGAGCCGCCGAGATCACAGTGAATCGTTGGTTGTTCCTCGTTACCGATAGAAAACACTACCGAAATATTCCGATAAAGATTCAGCTCTTTCGACATCATTTTCTGCCAAGATTAACGGATTTTCTTTTATCAAAAGTGATGGTATTCCATCGTTTCTCTGAGTTCGTCTTTTTTATACGAGAATAACCGTTTCGGACTATATCTAGAACCCTTGGCCAATTGTTTTTCATATGTTCATCTAGTCTTACTTATTAACGCATTCTTAATCTTACAATAACTGGATATGTATTGTACTAAGCCGGTAGAGATAAACATATTCCAGTGCTTCTTCCTTGTTCTAAGAAGTTTCCTGACTGTTTTCGTTATCCATGGTCGACTGCTACTCGGTCTTCGCGGTACCGGGTATGGTATGAACGGGGACGTAACTAAACTAAACTCACCTTTAGATGCAGACCATCCTTCTTCAACTGATAAGCTAGTATCTACAAAACAATCTGTCTTAGCAGCTCATTCCCGAATGGCTGATATGTTAGCTTTCCATACATTTGGGCGGGGTGTAACCTGATCGCATAACATGTCCCTAGTTCTAAACATGAATGACAAAACAGCGTGATCGCTGTTCACTAATGGCGTAAGAATATTTAGGCCAACGATATCCTCAGTATCATGAGTGATTACCAAGTCCAACAGAGAAGAACCTTGGTTAGAACCAAAGCGTGTGGGTTTGGATACATGCTTCACTAGTGCATGCTCCATTATTGTTACCAGGAAACTACTATCAAAGGAGTCTATCGACCCTTCCGTGGTCACCTCAGTCCAACTAATATCAGGTGCACTAAAGTCTCCTATTATCGAGCATCTGGTATTTGCACTCCAAAGATGAATGTACTCTAAAATAAAATCATCAGCTAAGCAGATCGGGCTACGATAGATGACACCGAGCATAAATGTACTACATCCGATAGCCAATTTACAGCAAATGGTTTCACAAGTACCGCTATAATGGGATTCGCTAGCAAAGGAGCGGATATTTATATTATTGGCCATGTATAACAGGACGCCATCTCCTTTTCTACATCTATGTCTATCACTCCTAAGATAATGGTGTAGTGTCTAAGTCATGGACTAACCAAGTTTCTGTCACTGCTGCGATGAGTGGCCTTAATCTGTCCACCAATGCTTCTAATTCATAGAACTTATTTCTTAGACTACGAGGATTGGCATATAAAACTCCCAAGTAGAACGGCCTATTCACACAGGCCTCGGTAGCATTCGCTTCCAAGACCTGAGTATCAGAAAACCCACTAGCCGGAGATTTTCCTCACCGTTTTGCCGACGGGTTTCTAGTTCAGCTAATGCTTTCTTCCTTTTTATTCTATCTTCGAGAGACATATCAGGTCTAACCCGTATATCGGAATTGTCGTGACAACGAGTGCTACTTAACAGGAGATCCCGTTGCTCCTCCCATCCAAGGATTACCTTAAGGAGTCTACATGGTCAGGGTTCAACATTGTCCTCAGTCCTCTTGCCTATTCTAACCAGTTTTTTACCTGAACTCCTTCAGAGTCATCTGGTAAGATACTACGAATATATTTTCCCAGCTTTTCTAAATCATGCGCGTGTCTAATTTTGGGATCAGGGTCGTTTGACTCCAGCAATTTGCTCACAATAATATTCGATAAGATTAGATTCTTCTTCTCACTCACACCAGAGGGGGTTTCTCTCTTGCTATCAGATTTTGGCAGTGCGTCAGGTTTTGGTGGTGCATTTTGTGACTTGCTAACCATCTGTGTATTGCCTGCCACCTTTTTCTTTTCATTTCGTTTTTTCGGTACTGTAGTCCATTGTTCATCCCTCAGGACATTGGGACTGTTCGAAGCAGTGACGGTTTTATACAGGCCTTCAGTTTCCACTAGGGGTGCATGGTTACCAATGTCAGTATCGGGTGGTACTACCCCCGTCGTTAATGTTAACGGAGATTTCACCTTTCCGTCAGTCAAAGCCGGTGTTTTTAAGGCGTCTCGTAACAGCACGTACTACACTGACACATTCGTCACTGCCAGTGCTCGTGTCATCAGCCCATGCGCCACCATTCCTCTTACAGGCCAAAGCCAATAGGTTCATAGCCTCCTGTATTAGTAACGTCTTATTTGCACAGCAAACATGCAGAGCCAATGTGAGTTAGGCTCCGAAAATCTTTTGTATGCAGTGGGACTTAAACGGGTGTACATCTGATGGAACCATTTTTTGCATTCATCACACTGCATTCCTTCCTCCATAGGGAACAAACAGTTTGATTGTCCGCATTTGTGAGTATTACCAACCATTTTAGTCAGATTAAGGTGTAAAACACAATATGATTGCAGTATGAACACAGTGTCAGTCAACGAGTAAAAGGGTACTACAAGACAAACTTTAGCAAGACTTCAAACCTTAACTCAAGTACTTTGATTTAGACCAAGAATGCTTTAGATGCAATAAATACACAAAAGCAAGGATAATCACAAAAAGTACAAAATTACTGCCCTTTTTGAAACACCAACGACAAAATGGTTGTGAAAAGAATAAGAGAAGCTTTCGCTTAACAGGCATCCGTATATAGTAACAGTGGATCACTGATACCATCAGGTTGGAACCTAGGCACTTTTAATGATAAATGAGAAAAACGTCAGTAAATTATAACGAAATACTGTCCTTAGTCCCTAAGAATATGTCAAGTTCTCTCTTATAGGACTCATTGGAAGCCGCTTGCACTAGCTCAGAAGGCAGAGAATTCCAGCATCTGATTACTCTCAACGAGTAGAAGGTGTGCCTACGACCGCTCTGCTATGTTGTACCACGAAATGCACTTCTAGGGTGTGAATCTTACGGATCTTGAATCATCAAAGCATCATTCAAAACGAAGAAGGAGGGGATCACAATGAATATTATCCAATGTTATGCACCCACCAATGAAAGCATCGACGACATTAAAGATCAATTCTACGAGCGGCTGCAATCAATCATAGAGAAATGCCCAAGAACACAGTATACAACGTCAAAAACGTTTTGGTGCCGACATGACTAAAGGCCTTACGTATTCAACATAAAGTTCGAAGACCTCTGGCGGCTATTGCACGGCAGTGTGCAGTAGTTTTTAAGTCTAAGCTAGGGATGACTTTCAAGTCATTGAGTGCCTGGACTACAGATGTCTCAGTTTTATTAATCATATACGTATTTGTACCTTGATGACCGATATGCTCCCTAATGCACTTGGAAGCATTTATCGGAAACTGCCAGGTTTGAGACCGTTCAGATAATTTCTCTGGGTCATTCTGGAGTTCTAATCTATCACCCTTACATAGTATTGTTCTCCATATTTTGACATCGTCAGTGTATAGCAAGACCGATGATGATAGGAAACAAGGAAGGTCATTTACATACAAGGGGAATAGCACTGGCCCCAAAACTGTACTCTGAGGCACTCCACCAAGCACAATTTCCTAGCTAGACAACTTGGAGTTCACCCGTACTCTCTGTTCGCGCACAACTACGAAGTCTTTTATCCACATCAGTAGATTGCCTCCAACCCCGACATTTCGTAACTTAGATAACAGCCGGTTGTGTGGAACTTTGTTAAGAGCTTCTCTGAAGTCAATGTAGGCTACGTCTACAGGCATCTTTTGGTTCTTAAGAGGGCCCCAGCCTTCACAAGCGACTAATAAGTTAGTGAGACG